TTATTACAAACTAAGCAAATATAACACTAAATATATTCATGGCTACCGTTTTCCTGCTATTTTCTTGTTGATGCCACTCATATATATCAAATTGAGTACCGAGCCGGCAAAGCAGCCTCGTAAGTACCTACTTTTGTATAGACTGTAAACCAATGTTGCTCCCATAGAAACGTAAACAAATGCATCTGTTTAATCTGAGGTCAGCACCAAATTCCTGTCGACGTCGACCAAATAAACCTGCATTTTTTAAACGTGATGGTTAAAGTTGATGGTGGATTTCCAAACAAAAAACAGAAAACTTGTTGGCAACTTACTGGATATTTGGATTGACCGGCACTGCATGCAAGAAAAAATTACGAAACCTCAATGACCCCCAAAGTGTCTTGGGGCATGGACTAAGGGGTGCAACTGATCAGCAATTCGCAAAAAAATAGAACGTGCTTTAGGTATGAGAGTAAAGACTGTTTCACATTGACGCTCTTAGTTTCCCTTTAACTGCAGACCTGTTTCAACCATAAATGCGTCACTTCGAGATCCGCAGGAATGAATAGTTTCCATAATTAGCATCCGCTAGCGATGGTTTCAAGTACTGAACACTGACCTGATCGATGCTGGGGCTGCGGGGCTGCCGCTCAAAGTCCAAAGGAATCGCCTCGGGAACCACTTGGTTCTTCTTCGGGCTGCGCGGAACCCGATAGTACGGATCCTGGGCCCCGTACAGGTCCGGACTGCCCACATTCAGCAGGCACACTCTTTGCTCTATATCTACTATCACAAGGCCGGCCTCGTTTCCGTAAGCCATTCTGGAAGTGGTTGCAAATCAGTTTAGTAAACCTGGTTTTTTTGCGAATTCTTACAGCCCATAAGAACTATTTATGGTTAAAGCGGTAATGTGACTCGGTGGTTCGCCGTTGTTCCACGGCGTCAGACAAACTAGTTGCGCTTGAAATCCTGCAGGCTTCTTCTGAGCGCCAGTCCGCACTTTCAAGGTGCAACCTTCCTGAAAGCGCCAGTAAACTTTATTAGCTGATTTCCAGCCTCGGCAGGACGCACCCTTTTGTTCTCCAAATCCAGCAGATCCAGCTTGTTGCCGGAGCCGGCGCTGCCTGGTCCAGAAAACTGGCAATCTGGCGATATTTCGTCTTCAATCACTTCGTATACTATGGGGATTTCCAATACCATCACCTAGAAGGACTGATGGGTTAGCCTCCAACCAGCAGGGGGGAAAAGAAGGACGCAGTTTCCCCACCCGGTATCTACTGCGCTTAAAGTTGGCCTGCAGTGGCAGTTTTCCACACTCACCTCATCACTGCTTTCCGTTTTCTTATAGGTGAAGAGCATCACATGACTGGAGGCTCCAGCAACGCACAGTTTCCTCGACTCCGGACACAGTGAGATCAAATTGATGGCAAACGGATCCTCCTCCGATTCGGTCGATCTGGACTTGGGTTTTTCGAAAATTTTCGACGTTTTCAACTTGTAGAGGACTTGCAAAGTGCCGGCGCTCGCATCCCAGAACTTGATGCTGCCGTCGGCGTGCCTGCGGAACAGCTGCATGAAGCCAATGACGAGAACGGGAAAGCTGCCGTTCAATACCCAGTGAGAATGACTTCCGCATAGCTGCAGCCCTGTGCAGACCAGGTGCCCCCGTTGATCGGCCAGTCCATCTCGCTCAGACCCTGCCGTTTACTCGATCCGGCTCTGCCCACGGAATAAAAGGCCGGGATCAGATCCACTGGACAGTCGGCCAGATAACTCACGCAGGTCACCGGCGATTCGTGGATATTCATCGGGTAGGGATTCTCTATCCAGGGGTATCCGGGCGTTTGTAGGTCCACAACCACCAGGTCGTTTTGGAGGAGGGCGATTATTGCGAACGGCTCCTGCATATCTGGGAAAAATAAAGTTGGAAATTGTTGCACGGGAGAAAAAACTTTCTTCTTCTTGTCTTACCACTGATATATGGCGACTCGCATAAAGTAACGAAATCTATCACGTTGTGCTCCATTTCTAAAACGGTCGTCGTCTTATTATGTACAACAGTAATACTGGGCGTTCGACAAGCTTGGTCGTAAGGCATTCCTCCGGAAAATATCACAAATGCTTCCCTGCAAGCGTTAATAATCGCACAACTTTCCAGCAAACTCCTTCTACGATAACTGATTAGTTAGTGTGAATTAATTAATGTCCTCACCCTGCTCTATTAGTCTTCCACTCAACTTTACCGATGGGTTTGCACTGTTCGGGCTTTCCATCTTTATTAAATTTGGCTGCAAATGCAAACAGTTATTAATGGAGCAAGTCGAAAATTAGCTTTTTGCAACACGTAAATTAATTGAAATAGTGTCCAAGATGTTAGGCGAACATCTTGCACAAACCGGTACTACAATCAACTTCAGAACAGCTAAAAACTTCAACATTTTAAATATGATCCCATACACCTACCATGAGGTTGAGAAATATGAACATATTTCTGACTATTTCGAATGTTCCACGTGGTCAATGTTCCATCTGCATGGGCGCACATGAACTGCTTGCCTTCGTAGTGCCAGGATATCGACCTGAGATCATAAGCCAGCCATCGCATCTCGATATTTCGGCTTCGCAAGTCCCATAATACTATTTGGCCAGATTCATACCCTATTAATAACTGAAACACACGGAAATATTCATTTCTTAGTTTGCTTTCGATGCAAACTTGGAACAAAAGAAAACAAACAAACGCATGCAAACTCTTCCTAATAGCCATAAAAAACGATACAAAATCATCAATCAAAACGAGCTGAATTTTTGTAGATTCCATAACTATTATTGATTGCATCTTTTAGCTCAAAAACTGCTAAACAGAAAATTGTTCCAGCTATTTTTGTTCTTGAGTACCCATAATTTTCCTTTTGTCTTCCTTTGCTTGGATTTTCCTATGCGATTCAGAATACTAATTTCAGTCACTGATTTAAATATTTTTTCTTTTATTTGCCGTTGCAATTTGAAAGACTTGAAGATTTTCAAAATGCAATGCTCTTCATGTGTTTCAATTGCTATTTTTGATTAATTAGTGATTTTAGTTTCAGAAATCTTTCATTTTAATTCGTTCTTAATAACTCTTAATCTTGTTGGATTTCGCTCTGATTCGTTGTATTTCTGTCTGCCTTTTTGCGATTGATTTTATAAATTGTTGTTCTGTTGCTTCTTCATTGATTCAATAAAGAACACATTTTTGCGGCATTTCATAGAAATTGAACAAATAAAATATATTTGGATCGTGTGTGTCATACACTCTCAAGTTATGAAACGCGTGTATTTTGTGCCAGGCATAACTCGTTTAAATTTGCATTAATTTAAACAATTATGTGGAAGTTATCGGTTTCGATGCAAACTTGGAACAAAAGAAAAAAAACAAATGCATGCAAACTCTTCCTAATAACCATATAAAACGATACAAAATCATCAATCAAAACGAGCTGAATTTTTGTAGATTCCATAACTATTATTGATTGTTCCAGCTATTTTTGTTCTTGAGTTCTCCTTTCTGTTAATTACTGTTTTGTTCCCATAATTTTCCTTTTGTCTTCCTTTGTTTGGATTTTCCTTTGCGGTTCAGAATACTAATTTCAGTCACTGATTTAAATATTTTTTGTTTCATTTGCCGCTGCAATTTGAAAGACTTGAAGATTTTCAAAATGCAATCCTCCTTATGTTTCAATTAATATTTTTGATTAATTAATGATTTCAGTTTCAGAAAGTTTTCATTTTAATTCGTTCTTAATTACTCTTAATCTTGTTGGATTTCGCTCTGATTCGTTGTATTTATGTTTGCCTTTCTGCGATTGATTTTATAAATTGTTGTTCTCTGGCTTCTTCATTGCTTTCTGTACTTTTAGTTCCTGATCTTGCTAAACGTTTGAATACTAATGATGTTGTGGTTAATTAGTGACCGTGATCAAAATCAGTAATTATTTAGGTTTGGGGGTTTTTCGGTCAATAGATGGTGGCAAAAATAAAACCAATAATTATTATTATTAAATTGAAATAAACGAAACAAGCAATAAAGGAACAAGAACAGGGACAAAAATTTTGAAGTTTGCGGCTTAAAAACGCCAATAAAGAACACATTTTTGCGGCATTTCATCGAAATTGAACAAATAAAATAATTTGAACCGTGTGTGTTATAAACTCTCAAGTTATGAAACGCGTGTATTTTGTGCCAGGCTTAACTCGTTTAAATTTGCATTACTTTAAACAATTATGTGGAAGTTATCGGTTTCGATGCAAACTTGGAACAAAAGAAAACAAGCAAATGCATGCAAACTCTTCCTAATAGCCATAAAGAACGATACAAAATCATCAATCAAAACGAGCTGAATTTTTGTAGATTCCATAACTATTATTGATTGAATCTTTTAGCTCAAAAACTGCTAAACCCAAAATTGTTCCAGCTATTTTTGTTCTTGAGTTCTCCTTTCTGTTAATTACTGTTTTGTTCCCATAATTTTCCTTTTATCTTCCTTTGCTTGGATTTTCCTTTGCGGTTCATAATAATTTCGGTCACTGATTTAAATATTTTTTTGTTTCATTTGCCGCTGCAATTTGAAAGACTTGAAGATCCTCAAAATTCAATCCTCTTTATGTATCAATTATTATTTTTGATTAATTAATGATTTCAGTTTCAGAAAGTTTTCATTTTAATTCGTTCTAAATTACTCTTAATCTTGTTGGATTTCGCTCTGATTCGTTGTATTTCTGTTTGCCTTTTTGCGATTGATTTTATAAATTGTTGTTCTCTGGCTTCTTCATTGCTTTCTGTACTWTTAGTTCCTGATCTTGCTGAAGGTTTGAATACTAATGATGTGGTTAATTAGTGACCGTGATCATAATCAGTAATTATTTAGGTTTGTGGGTTTTTCGGTCAATAGATGGTGGCAAAAATAAAACCAACAATTATTATTATTAAATTGAAATAAACGAAACAAGCAATAAAGGAACAAGAACAGAGACAAAAATCTTTTTATTTTGAAGTTTGCGGCTTAAAAACGCCAATAAAGAACACATTTTTGCGGCATTTCATAGAAATTCAACAAATAAAATATATTTGGATCGTGTGTGTCATACACTCTCAAGTTATGAAACGCGTGTATTTTGTGCCAGGCTTAACTGGTTTAAATTTGCATTAATTTAAACAATTATGTGGAAGTTATCGGTTTCGATGCAAACTTGGAACAAAAGAAAACAAACAAATGCATGCAAACTCTTCCTAATAGCCATATAAAAAACGATACAAAATCATCAATCAAAACGAGCTGAATTTTTGTAGATTCAATAACTATTATTGATTGCATCTTTTAGCTGAAAAACTGCTAAACAGAAAGTTGTTCCAGCTATTTTTGTTCTTGAGTTCTCCTTTCTGTTAATTACTGTTTTGTTCCCATAATTTTCCTTTTGTCTTCCTTTGCTTGGATTTTCCTTTGCGGTTCATAATAATTTCAGTCACTGATTTAAATGTTTTTTTCTTTTATTTGCCACTGCAATTTGAAAGACTTGAAGATCTTCAAAATGCAATGCTCTTTATGTGTTTCAATTACTATTTTTGATTAATTAATCATTTCAGTTTCAGAAAGTTTTCGGGGGTAATTGCACAAGTGCTTCAAAATTGCTGATAATAATTTTTTAATGTAATAATGCTGTAATTTTGCGATGCATAATTGCACACTTCAAACGGACAGATTATCATACGAAGGAAATATTCATTTTAATTCGTTATTAATTACTCCTAATCTTGTTTGATTCCGCTCTGATTCGTTGTATTTCTGTTTGCCTTTTTGCGATTGAGTTTATAAATTGTTGTTCTCTGGCTTCTTCATTGCGTTCTGTACTTTTAGTTCCTGATCTTGCTGAACGTCTGAATACTAATGATGTTGTGGTTAGTTAGTGAACGTGATCATAACCAGTAATTATTTAGGTTTGTGGGTTTTTCCGTCAACACATGGTGGCAAACATAAAACTAACAAGTATTATTATTAAATTAAAATAAACGGAACAAGCAATAAAGGAACAACATAAGTGGGGGCAATTGAAACAGACAGCTGAATAGTTGTGTGCTGAAGCACAGGCTGGAGGTTGTGCAGAAACGCATTTTTCCTTACCAAAAATGCAGAAATATTGACACAAAACTGTGTACTTACTTTGCTAGCATCTAACGGATTATCACTTAAATGAACTATAGCCCCCGGATGAGTTTTCATGGTACTGGAAAAATCCCAAATAAAAGCGTCAACATACAAAGCCTCCATCCACCGCCTGGTACTTACAGTTCGATTGTTTTGTTCCAATTTATTATATATCCTGAAAGGGAGAACGTTTCGATTTGCACCACATGAACATTGCCCTTCACCGTGCCGACGTACATCCACTTTGATTGGAGCGGAAGATGCATATAAGAGATCCTGAAAACATAAAATTGCACACAGTTTCCAGCCAATTGGCTGAAACGAACGACTGACTTCTCCTTTTGGAACTTCAGGCTCTGGACAATTTGCGGCACTTTCTGCTTGTGGCTCCACAGATGAAGAGTGTCGTCTGCCGTGGCCGAAATCAGGAAACCTTCATTGACCAAAAACTGCAAGTGCAAAATTGCAGCTGATCCAGGCGGCCCGTCCATGTCGTGTCGAACATGCACATCCACTCCAGGCTGGCCAAAACTGAACGGATTTTTTCAGGAAATATGCAGATTATTTTAACAGTATACTGCCAAAGCCCAATTTTATACATTGGGACAGTTTAAATATTGAATATAGCTGAACGAGCTGATGAACCAAAAGAACGCCAGTTGAAGCTGCGAACAAAGCGCTGGAAAATTCGTCGCTCTATGAACAAACGCTCTGAAAAGCGCTCTAATTTACTGGCTTGGGCAGAGCGAAATGCCCGGATTTGGCACAGCAAAGCCAGTAACAAACTTATTAAAATTTTACGGATTGAAAGGCTTTCGCCAGGTTTCCATTTTGCGTAATCTAGAAATTATTAATTAACAAAGGGTTCGTTCTTAACTCATTCCAAAAATTGCACTGGAAAAGAGAGGATAAATTCGAATTTGGCGCTTAAGCGTTGCCCGGCAACGACTATAACATTTGCAGGCCGCACCCAATTTAACACCAACTAGCCAATCAGAAGCTCTGTGGTTTGGCGGCACATTCAAACTTTGCCCAAAACACCTTAAAATTGAACGTTTTTTAACTGCAGCCGTTTTGGAAAAGCCGGTTATTTTGTGGCATTTCAAATTCAACCCTCGAATGGGCTCAGGGGTACAATGCGAGAAAAAGCGTCCAGCAGTAGAAAGGATCCTTTGTCTAGGCCTGTTGAATGGGGCCTCAACTCAATTACAAAGCCACATCTAAATTGAAATCAGCTTTCTATGCGCCTTACAACTCCCGATGAATTATATTCCGCCTGCTCATTACTGTTTGTTTATTATTAGTCCATTCATTTGTAATGTTTTGCATTGATCGAGCCCATACACAGTTATGGAAAGGGAAAATGGACATTCCTATTTAAAGAAAGCGATTTATACAGGGTGGCAGGATGAAAAGGCAACTCTTCGTCTCCTTCTTGGACCTTTCTTCTTCCAAGTGCAGTTTTTTTCATGCGTACTCTACACTATCGTCGATTTTTATGCGTTTGTGACTGTGTTCTTTCATTCTTCGTGAATTAATCAATCGGAAAACCGAACACCATCCATTTCCTCAACATCAAACTGGAAACGTAATAAGAATCTTTCATGAATATTTAAAACGAAAACTTCTCAAAGGGCTTTGTAAACCGTGAACGGCACAGATGGAGTGGCTTTTTGAAGTGCCCGCAAGCGCCCGTCGAAATGAGAGTCTCAACAAGTTGAAAATACTTGCGGCGTTCTAATGGACAACGTCTTGGAAGAACTTCGACTGGCTGACGGAATGGTTAAAATAACAACTTTGCCAACAAACGCGCAAACATCCATTTCAAATCAACAAAAACCGACAAGTAAAATGGCATGTAAAATATCCACATTGAATTGAACTCTCCGCAATACAATTCAATTAATTTGCATATTTAAATTGGCTTATTAAGTAGTTAGCGCTAAATTAACATTCAGTTATTTGCCCAGGCCGAAGAGCCCCCCAATAAACATTCCGTTAATCATTTCGCGATCGAACTTGTGCAGTGGCTGAATAATTAAAATTTAATTATTCCCGTAATTGTTGGACGTAAAAATTGGATTTCGCCATGAAAATGAACATTAATCCTCTCGACAAGATATGCATGCATGTGCCCGCTGTAGAATGTCCGTATAGATTAAATTCCAATTTGCGACCCTGTTTGATGCGAACAGCAAACCGGCACAGACTTTGGCAGAAAATAGTTTATCGGAAAAGCGAATAATGCATAGAACAAGTGCAACTACGGCAACAATGAGGCAATCGATAGAATAAAGCAATTTGGAGATGTTTCTGCTCCAGTTATTTCAGACACAAAACCATTTATTGCATTTTCACTGTTTAAGCGCCGGTAAATCGTAGTGTTAATGAGTTTAATCAGCCATAAGGTCACATTTATGCGGCATTTGATTCGAGAGAATTAATAAAAACCTTTAATGCCTTAGTTTATCGAAAATTGAACAAATCTAAAAAAAATTAATCGGGTGTGTCATACGCTCTTACGTTATTAAATACTTGTTTTTGTGCAAAGTTTAATTAGTTGAAATATTTATTAATTTATACAAAACGTGTAAAACTCATCAAAGAATGCACGCAATAATTTAGACACGAAACAAAGATAATTGCCAAAGAGACAAAAATCTGTTTATTTTGAAGTTTGCGGCTTAAAAACGCCAATAAAGAACACATTTTTGCGGCATTTCATAGGAATTGAACAAATAAAATATATTTGGACCGTGTGTGTCATACACTCTCAAGTTATAAAACGCGTGTATTTTGTGCCAGGCTTAACTCGTTTAAATTTGCATTAATTTAAACAATTATGTGGAAGTTATCGAACACTGCAAGCAGTAATTTAGACACAAAAACAATTTGAATACGTCGTGGGACAGAATTTCAATTTCTTACCGGCGTCGCTGCTGCGTCGAGCAAACTGCCTCTGAAGATGCGAGCCACTCGCGTTTGCGAAACGTTGGAAAGAAACGCAATGTATAAGTCCTGAAAGTCCAAAATCCGAGTCCTTTGATCATGAAAACTTCTGTTCGATCCTGTGATGAATGATGCCATTTTTTGCCCATTAATGTGAAGATATTTACGTCTTTGCTTTGGGAGTTGAAACCATTTGAAACTAAATCTGGAAACTGTGGAAAAGCGACAAAATCCTCCAAAAGACACAATATTTTTTGGCGCTTTAAGAACAGCTTTGCATCTAATGGAACTCCCCAATTTCGATGTTTACAGCCCTGGTCGAGACAGAAAGATGAAATGAGATTAAAATCGCGTTCAATGCGAAATAACAGAAGGGAAAACGATTAATTAGGGCGCAAAATATTAAATTTCCTTTAGCGCTTTTTCGAGTTTGGGCCTGGCGATTTTTCAGTATCCAACTAAAATTGCCAAATGAGAGAAATCGATCTGAATTCGCTCCATTTCAATTTAATATTTATGAAATTACTAGATAAACGAATCGAGCCAATTGTCCACTCAAGAGTATCCGCAACATACACATCGGCCCAAAGAGAAACAGAGCTTTTATCAGACACAATAAAAGCATCCGTTTCTACTACATCAATAGAGGCTCTCGGGTCTCTGGGGATGGATAAACCCGGTCCTAAAAGCTCTTCCTAATGAGAAAGAAAGCCAAGGAGCTTTCCATTGTTTAGAAAAGGGTGTCGATGATATAGAATAGAGCAGAAATATTATTTCGTGACATTCGCTCAATTAAAACACGCTTTCAGTTGCTTAAAATACAAATTTCCTCATAATGGCTTTCCCATTTAAATTCAAATTACTTTATATCAAAATTGGGCCAGTTTCGCTACAGACTTTTATACCGTTGGCAGTAATCCGCTCTTGAAAGTGAGTTTGAGTTTCCGTCCAAATCGCTTTATAATAAACAAAGCCGCCTCAAGACCGGCTACATAAGGATATTTGAAATTCCAATTAGGGAATATGCCCTGACGTAAACGAGCATTTATAAGGGGGAAAATATTTGGCAAAACGTTAATTATTCCCAAGCAAAATGGGCATAAAATACGTCGCAAGAAAATAATAATTTGTTGTTCAACGAGAGCCAATTTCCCTTGGAGCGTTGCTATTTTTTCCATTCGCTTTCCCAGCAAAATGCTGATCGTTTTAAGTGAAACTGAGCGAAATCCAATAACGAGGTCCATTTGTTCCAGCTTGATTAAACAAAGGCTAAAACGAGCGCCCGAAATTCGCGCATATAACAGGTATGTTTGCGTACAAAACAGCTATGTTTACGTACTCGTTTAAGGCCGTTATTAATGGAAAATAAATCGTAAAACTTTTGCGACTATTGCTTGAAACTGCTGAGATTTTTGCCGAAAAGCCTTGAAAAGCTCTGAAGATGCAGGCCACTGCTGCTTGCGAAACGCCCGACAAAACCAAATCATTTCCAGTTTGTAATGGATTTGTTGTTCACTCATCGTTTTCAGCAATACCTTAAGTACCACCTGAACTCCATTAGGAAAAAGGATACATTCTGAGCGATCCGCATTTTGATCCGAGCGCAAGCAGCTTCTGGATGGGATCGAAAGCCATTGCAGTCGGTTGGTATGGAAATCCATGTCGAAACGTCTGCAAAAGAGAACAGCAAAATGTCCATAAAATATGCTTATTTCAAATTTAATCCTAGAACTAACTATCCAACCGCCATTAATCCTAGTTACTTTCCCATTTGCCGGATTTGCCTAGACACTAAAATGCCAGGTATTCTTCTACGAAGACAAATCACTTTACTTAATAAAATCTGTGAAACGAAAGAAAAACGCACAAAACCATCAAGGGAAAAAACCTCTGGCGTCAAAAAGCCATTTCTCTGTTGTCCTTATGAAATGGTGTAATTAAATTTCATTCAGCGCCTCTTGCTGAAGAGAAATCGTCACTTTTGGTAGATATAACCGGAAGAAAACGAGGCTCGTTAACATTAATTAGGCCAAACCGCTGAGAAAAAAACGAAAATAATAACATTTCTCGTTGTTTTTGCTCGGCCGAAAGGGCCTGAAAGCTGAAAGGCTCCTTTTCAAGTTCGCCGATAATCATTAACGTTGCTAAATTGTGGATAAACTTACCAGCATGAAGATAATCTAGCGAGTTAGCGGGGCTATAAAGTTTAATGTCGTTTTAATAGAGCGACCGGAATCGTTTGTAGACATTAATCAACTTAGTTCTTGAAGATTCGGCATCTACACTAGATTAAGGTTCTTGCCGTTCATTAGGATTACTAGCGTTGAAAATAATGGCAAAAAACGCTGGTTTGTGAGCTCCAGCTGAAAGTGTTCTGAAGCCCGTTAAAGCGACCCAGCTAGGAAATTAGCCACATTTTTCCTAATTTTCCCTGCCCCAATTTCCTCAACTTTATCTTCCAACAGATCCGGGCCTTGCGCTTCATTTAATTTATTTGGCGCATAATATGCCGAGGATCGAAGCCGGATATTTAGCGTCTTTATCACGTCCAAAGAGGAGCTCCTTAAATTCAATAATCCCCAATAACGTTCGCTCATGTTTAGGAAGCGAAAACTGATAGTCCCATTGCGTTAGCACGAATTGAGACTCTTTTTCGATAATAATCATTAAACAACAACTTAACGATTTTCCCTTACCCATTTTTTCATCCATTTTCGAGATGAACACAAAACAAACACCCAAAAAAGTGCACATTTTTACCCAACACCCCACATAACAGAAGTGATATGGGCGTTCAAAAATAAGCTTAAAAGTATTGGATTTGCATCGATCGGACCTTTTTCCCCCCATTCGCGTTTCATAACCAGCCACCCAAGCAGATTGGTTTAAGGAATATATCGGGTTAAATTTATGGCTTTATTCTCCAGATGCGCCCCGAATTATAATAGAATTGTGTTTCATCTTTTCCGTATATACTAAAGCCCCGATCAGTGAAACACTGTATTATACTGGGAAATGGACGACGAGTTCTATTTTGCACTCCCTTGGGTCGTTGGAACCTTCGCTAAAAGCCCATGGAAATATTGGCCGAAAGTGTCCAAGTTTTGATGAATTTCCTGCATGCTGTTCGCCTCCGTTTTCCAACTAGTCCCTTGATGATCAAATTTATAACGCTAGGGTTTATTAAGGCGCTGATAATGTGCCTGTTTCTTTCAAGCGACACTTGCCCAGCAAAAAAAGTTATATTGGACTGGAAAGTTTCCGAAATCGCCCATAAAACCTGGGAGTTTCGTGCGATAACGTCTCGGGAAGGAAAATTGAAGGTTCACAGTTGATTTATACTGAAAAATCGTCTGAAATATTAATTTTTAGGAAGATGCTCCTTCAACTCTAAAGCTACTTTTGGGTTTATGCTACCGACGTTTCGTCTTATTTGATTTAATTTATTAATTTTTTCGACTCCCTATTTTGGAACTAAAAAATAAGTCAATTTTTTGCAGTAGATACTCTAGTTGCCAAGCGCTCAAAATATATTTGCTTAAACCGAATACTTTTCGCAAAGTAAAGCTTCGATTCCAAGTTTCTGATTAATGTTTCGAGGAGAAAAAATATCTTGACAATTTTTTGCTCAATGCCGTTTTCGAGTAAAAAAATTAAAGCCGGACCAGTGCAACATTCAAGTTCCAAAGTGCTCAAAACGTGAAAATAAAGCGCGTACTTTTAATTAAAAAAACTGGTAAACTGCAGCTTTTTCCTAAACTAAAAATGTGTGTCCAAGTTTCTGATCAATTAGGACGAGACAAACCCGCTTGACATTTTTCTGTGCAACGCCTCTTTTTGCGTAAAAAATAACAGTAGAATTGGAGTGGCAAAACGGAAGAAACTTTGAACTTCTGGCTCAAAAAAGCCTGTTTTCACATCGCTCCAAATTCCGCTATCAAAGCAAACTGCTGCATAGAAAACCATCGTTGCAATTAAACCAGTAAGGAAAAAACTAACTTAGCAAGCGATTGCAGTTGAAACTACGCGTATAAATCCAAAGTAGTTTCTGCACAAGATAGTTCAAAGCAAAATCCACCGTATCCAAACGACTCCCGCGGCTTTCAGAGGCAGAATCATTCGAAACAGCGCTAACAAACTGAATTATTGCTATTCCAGCTCTTTGTTTCAACCAACATATGCCCGTAAAGCAACATACACATTTTGCAATTCCCAAAACAAAGCCGGCAGGTAAATAATGAGGCCACTATGGCTCTCGACCTTTATTCCATCATATTTCGGGGTAATGAAACGTGTTATTTTGCACGACACCTCTCCAGAGGAAAATACGCCGAGACAAAGAAATGCTGGCATAAAACGATGACGTTTTCCTGCAGGAACCAATCCAGGCGTATTATTTAAATAATTGGTGACTGGCAAGAACAGGCTGAATGCCAGGAAAATCGGGTTTCAACCCAATATGAAGCTCAACAGCTCCAGGTGTATGGCAGCAGGCGAATGCTCTTTACGATGCCAGTGTAAACCTGGCAGGAAATTGAAAAACTTTACACTTTTCCTGCTGTGTTGGTTCGACGGCGATGAAAGTGCAAATGGAAATTTAGTCTTATACATTATACAGCCGATTTAATGCCCAAAAGGCGATCAATCACGCTTCGAAGTACAACTGATCTGTTTAGTTGACAAAGCAAGTTAGGCAAGAGGAAGAGAAATGAGGGTTCATTCGAACTGTCTGTGACAAAATAACCCTCCCAGCTCGAGCAGTGCGAACCTCTGAAACTTTGAAGCAGATCAGAATGTTTCAGAAAAGTTTTCCAATCTAGAAGCACAGCGCGGTTACAGAAGCTGCTGGAACAACCCAATCGCCCAACGCTTCATAAACAACTCTGTGATAATAAACGGCAAGAATTCCAATCTCTTCACTCAGGTGAAATATTTAGCCAACTATGTAGCTGCAGAACCATCCAGGCGGCAATTTGAAAACTATTTAATCTGGATATGGACCACATGGGCCCCAAGCGGAACAATGCCACCGATCTGGAAAGTACCATAATTGACAAAGTTAAGCTGCACTTGACCCAAGTGTGCGGCGCGTCCAGAAACACATAAATTTCCAGAATGGGTTTTGCATTGATTAAATGGCTGTCGAACGAGAGGAGGACATTAATTTTGGGGCCATTCGAACTAAGAGCGAGCAATTTAGCAGCTAATTGGCTTCGCTCGCCATCCATTAACGAAGACAAATCAGCGATAACTGAACAATCATTCCGGGGTGAAACTCAACGAATTTGTAATAAACAATTATAGGCCAGTACTGAATGAATCGGTTGGTTAACAAACGCCAGACTTACAAAATTGCCCACGTTTCGGCACATTTATTCAGGCATCTTCAGGGCAAAGTTAGGTATCAGCCCTGGAGATGACAACATAAGTATGGAAAACTTCCGCAATTTTATAAGTATGACTGTTGTTTTACAGCTATTCAATTGCCGTTATTTCTGCTATGTGTACATTCGAAAAACGAAAGGTCAGACTCTATTCAAATATAGAGCCTTTATTTCTCTATGTTCTGAGCAAAAACAGCAAATATTTAAACAGAACCCGTACGGCGCCAATTGAATGCTCAAAGAGGGCGGTTTTCAAAAAATTTCCGAAATTGCGTCCAGTTTTSAACAAAGWTCAGCCTTACACGAGATATCGAGCTATATTTCGTCTATTTTCAGCAAAAGTGYCAATCCTCTATTGGCAGCAGGAGSAAAACGRCGATTTTTTTATAGAGGATGCAACTATTCAAAATGTAACCACTATTCAAAAAATTACACACAATTTCTCAAGTCTTTGGTTAAGTTCCAACTCATCCCCGATATAGAGCCAGTTCTGCTCTATATCTGGACAAATCGTCAGTCTTTTATCGGCAACGGGAGCCAAATGGCGAATTTTTGAAACAGACCCTCCACGGCGCCAACAGAGTTCAGAAAGTGCAGATTTTTCAAATAATTTTCAAATTTCTCTGAGGACTACGGGAAAGTCCAAACTAGAGCCAAAACTAGAAGCAACTTTCAGGAGTAGGAGTCAAAGAGCAAGCATTTGAAACAAAACCTGTACGGCGCGAAAGATCATTTCAAGCCGCGTGTTTTTTTTATTTTCAACATTTTTCCATGACTTCGGAAAAGTCCATACTTAACCCAGATTTAGAGCCTTTATTGCTCTATGGTCTGACAAAACCTTAGCTCTTTAACGGCGGCAGGAGGCAAACGGCAATAATTTGAAACAGAACCTGTACAGCTCCAATTGAATGCTCAAAGTAAGCGTTTTCCAAAAAATTTCCGAAATTCGGTCCAGTTTTCAAGAAAGTTTAATCTTGCTCCAAATATAAAACTCAATTTGCTCTAAATACGGCAAAAGTTGCAGCAATGAAGGCATTGGCTGCAGAGTTTTTTCTTAACAGAGCATGCAAAGCGCCAGCTATGAGCTGAAAGTACGCGCTATTCAAAAAATTCCCCAAATCGCCTCAAGTTTTGGGCAAACTCCCAACTTGTCCCTGATATAGAAACGTTTCTGCTCTATATCTGGACAAATTGTTAGTCTTTTATCGGCGGCAGGAGGCAAATGGCGAATTTTTGAAACAGACCCTGCCCAGCCACAACATAAATCAGAAAGTGCACATTTCTCAA